TGATTGTCATATGAAATTTGAATGTTTCTTAGAACATATTGTTCGTCAAATTTTTTGAACTCAATTAGATACCTCAAATATTTCCAATTTGACTAATACTTTGTAAGTTGATCTGTGAAGTGTTGTAACAACCTGTCCCTAATTATACGATTTTATTAATTTTAAAAGAGTGAATTGATGAAAATACCCTAGAGGCGAGACTATTGACTTTCATTGACCATTATTTCTTGACCTGTATGAGCTATTATTTTACCGTATTCTCGAAATACTCAACAGTACGAACAAATAGGCGTAAGCGGAATCAAAATCGGAGTTACGATGGAAGTTTTACAGAACTAGGAATCCAAAGAATACTTTTGTAAAAATTATTATTTTATATTTTATATTTTTTTTCTTAAGTATTATATTATTACTTTAATAATTTTAATAATTATTATATATTTTTCACCCACACCACATTTACCTCCCTCTCTTCCACGTGGCATTTTCTTTCCCCACTTCAAGGGCTCTCTCTCTCGTCTATTTCGTCTCTCTCCTCCCTTAGTCTCTCTTGTCCCTTTCTCTAATAACACTCTCTCACTCCCCCTCCCTCTTCGATGGACTAACGAGCCACCATCATCGGCGTTTTACCTCGGTGAGCACAACCATCCTCAGATTTTCCCATCACAAACCCAGACCAGGTTGAGATCTCTCGTTTTCCCTCTCTCCCTTGCTGCACATTACCATCACTGTGCAAAAACTTAATCTGGCAGAACTCGCTGTCTTCAACGAAGGTAAGGTTTGAAACCTTCCAAAAATTTTGAGATCATGTTTAAGAGTACAATTAGGTTGTTTTTGAGACAATTTGGTGTTGTTTGGACGTAGAAACCACTCGGGGAAAACACTCCCCAGTTTCCAGCGATGGATTTGCGAGATTGCAGGCGTTTTCCGGCCATCTTCTGACCATGGTTGTGAACAAAAATGGTATAACTCGAATCTCTATATTCCTAGCTTTATTTTGGTACTTAAATGGTGAAGTTTAGTTGAGAGTTGAGCTCAAACGGAGTTCGGGAAGTTTCCCAGCCAACCTCGTCCAGTTCCGACTTTCTTCTCCTTTGGATTCGGCGGGTTTAACCTGCGAACCCAAACGGGTCAACCCAACCCGATACAGAAAAAAGGAAAAAAAAAAGAACCAAAAACCCTGATCCAGATCCAAACCCAGATCTGCCTTGGCCCATTTCTGAAATGGATTTGGAATATTCTTGAAATATTTCGTGGAATATTCCTAGAATATTCTTGGAATATTCTTTGTAATATTCTTAGAATATTCATTGTGTTGCGTTTCTGAAATTTTCTCGGAAACCTTCCTAGGCTAGTTTTGGCGCCCCGAGTTCTTTTTTGACATCCATGTAGTGAAATTCTAAAGATTTAACATAGTTGACTACCTCGGCGGCTCTATTGACTTTTCATTAACTTTTTACGAAAAATTGCCTTGGACCCTCCATAGTGTATTTCAACGTGCTGATTCTGAATCCGCCGTACGCTTCTCCAAATTCAAAAGGTTTAATTGAGTTTTACTAATGGGTCTCCATTATGCTTGGGTACGTTTAGCATCGGCAATTTGTATTTACTTGTTCGAACGGCTACAACTTCGCAAGTATCTGTGAGTGAGTCTTTGCTATATATTTATTTAGTTTCCATTTATATATTTGATAAAGAATTTCCTATGTTACGTCTAGATTAGATTAACGTTTACAAGAATTAGTGTATCGACAAAATTTATGAAATTATGCTACATCATGCGGGATGCACATGTATGCGTACTATGATGGGATGCCTTAATCATATTTATGGCCATAAATAGTATTATGTTGACTAGAATTATCAATTTAATGTTGCATGATCATATATACGTTATCTGCTCATCGTGTACTACACTGATGTAAGTATTCACCCGGCCAGGCCAGGTTTCACGTATATGTTGACATTGCACCATACGTTCACTTTGGATCCATTGTAGGTGCTAATTCTGTCCTAGATTGCTATAGGCAATTAGGACTCATAAGTGATGCTCATAGCGCCAGTTTTCACGTGATTGTAGAACTAGAACGTAAATCATTATTACACCCAGTATTGTTCCTGTCAGGATACCTCGGCATGAACTCATGTGTCAGTATATGTAGATGAGCACTTGATATGATATGTTTGTTAATGCGAGATTATGTGATTACCAGACGTTAGGTGTCTATTTACGAAATATTGTGATGAACTGAATTTTTGAGATACTGCAGGCTACGGTAAGTATTTTCATACTATATGTAGTATGTATATTTTGGAAACTATATTTGTTTCACGGCGAGGGGTTATTATGTTTTCGAAAAGGTTTTTACAAAGCTTTATTTTAGGCCCACTCACCCTTTTTTTTCTTTTCGCCCATCTAGGTTTTAGTGGCAGAGCTTCTGTGTGGACAAGGATTCTTGGCAAATGTTGGTAGAGGAGAGTACCTTCGATGGTATAATCTTTATCCTACTTATATTGTACTTTATACTTATGCTCTGACATCACGTGTGAAATGGGTTCATTCCGGCTCACATGCGCATTCTTCCATTTAGTCACTTTTAGGTTAATTTATTCACGTTTTCCACATCACTACACTTTATGGTTTCGTCACTTCTTGGGGTCAATCAGCATAGCTCGATTCGGAGTCCAAGTGGACCTTCTTGGTCAGGGTGTGTCAAGTGCAACTTGAAAAATAGACAGTTTGGATCATTAAAATTCGATGAGTAGGCCCCATAACTAGTTTTCATTTACAAAAAAAAAAAAAAAAAAAGAAATCCTTTGAATAATTTTTTTTTTAGTACATCGATATTTTTACATTAGGGGTAGGGGGATTTGGCTACGCCACACAATAGGCAACCTAATTTGGTATCGAATTCGCCATCTACGAAATTCAAACCTAAGACTTCTCACTTCTAAGCGAAGAGGAATACCACCAAACCGTAACACTGAGTGACAAAGGATCAATATCTATATATACGTTAATAAACTATTATATTTTAAAAATATGGGAACTGTTATTAGCACTTCAAAAATATCATTCTACAATCCTCACAAGTGTATTTTTCTTTCTAATTATAGAAAGTTTAGAGCGTCAAATGAGATTTTTAGAATGCTAATAACAATTCCCAAAAATATAATCCTTTGAAGTTTGATCTATCTGTTATTGAAGGGTCAGACAAGGAAAGGGGTGCATAATCTTAGAAAGCATGATAACCAAGAATCACAATTGTGAGCAGAAGCACATACTTCATGCAAATTTAAGAGTGTGTACAAAAGCAATGTGGTTGGAAATTTACATGTCGTTTGTGTTCTCAATCCAAAACAAACCAAAAAAGTCATATAATCTTCACATACGTAGACAGAATTCTACGGAATCGTGATTCATGAACCTCAATCTTTAGACATAGTTGCCTTGGTTACAGTAGATTGGAGTGATTGCTTTACTCAATCACATATAGGAACTAGCTTATGGCTGGATGGGTTATAGTCTTATAGAATACCCTAATATTCTCCTTCTAGTTTTATTGGTTATTTTTCATTTTACTTTCGTAACGTAATTCGATTTTCAACTCTTTGTAGTAAAGTTTGTTTTCTCTCAATCCGGTTAGTTTATCCGTTAAGTTCTCATTAAGAGTGCATGTGACTAATAATCCTCAATCTTAACCAGTCTCTTCTATCTCAAACCTAATAAAGAAATTTAAATTTTACTGTAATATATTTTCATGTAAATATCTTACTCATTACGTATGCTGATTACAATAAATATAAATATCATCTAAACATGACAAGAATTGGCTAGTGCGTTGAAACTCGAAAGAAAAAAAGTTGGTGGGTCAATTGAGATTACGTCAATTACTCAATAATGACTCAACAGTCAATAGTAGATAATTATATAAACTGAAATTCCACCGATTTGAATATATAAAGATGCGAAATTCAAATATTGTACGCAACAACAACCCTACTTTTGTAAATTAGTCTGTGAATATCCAGTTCTTAAACATAATAATATTGCCTAACCATGTAGATTTAGCGTTGCTTTTGTGTCAAGCAGGAGTCTCTAAGTTTGACCACATCTTTAAAAAAGTAAGAAAAGCAATCAATACTAATTAGGACAAACCCCACTAACTTTGTTTTTCCTCGTTCTTTCTACTTTTATTTCCCAACATAATAGTATTCCAAAGTGAGTTTCGATCCAATTCGGATGCTCTTTGTAGAGATGATAAGGATTCTTACACTCTATCTGTTCATTATATATCGTGTGATCAGAAATTATTTTTTAAATTTTTTTATTTAAAATAAAACACAAACAATGCCTAACTAAAGCTGACCGCACGATGTACGATGAACGAATATGATATGAGAATTCATAAGTTCCTCACAAAGAGGAAGTGAAAGGATCCTTATCCTCCAAAGGTAACCAACAACAACAACAACAAACTCATCGTATTTAGCCTCGAAGAATACGTAGAGTATTAGGCGATTTTGGGAGAAACTCGACCCCAACGATCCCACTGCCCCAATCAACAATCCCCATTCTCGCCTCTCAAGGTCCCAATTTGTTTGACACTCAGTACGAAGGGTGGAGGAGGATTAAAAAAGTGTGACATTACCAGCAAGATTGCAAATCACATTTTCCTATGTTTTCCTTATAATACCAATTAATTGTACATACCATTATTGTTGTTGTCCTTTTTCAATCAATAGATCAAATTTTTACTAAAGATTTTAGAATCCATGGTGGTGCAGGCGAACCATATGGAGTGACAGACACAGAGGGGCACGCAGTCCTCGCCTCTGAATTATGCATGCAGGCCCGTTGATATTTGACAAAAATGCTCACAAACCTCTATAACTTTTATGGAAAAATCCAGAGTACGTCTCCATTTTTAACAAATTAAACGGTGACAAATCTCGCTAATTTGTAAACGAGAATTCCACAGTACATCAACGCATAGCATGCAATATTGAATTAATGGCCGACGTACTTCTTTGAAAAATTGGAGGAATTAGGGAATAGATCAAGAAGCCCTTCTCTCTCACAAATTCACAATCTCACCATCATCGACTATTCCTCGACCGGATCGACTATCAATCGCTGCCATAGAGACAAGCAGTGCTGGTTCCCCAGCAACAGAAACTCTCTAAATGACCAAAATACCCCTGGCTTATTGTCCCTGTCTTACGCCCTCGCCGGCCCCTACCTCCTCCCCACAGCCCATTGGCCCACCCACCCCCCCAGTCCCTCCCTCGTGTCAAACACTTAATTTTCACCACCAATAGCCATCTCCAACTTAGTGCCCTCCCCCACTCTCTCTCTCTCTCTCTCTCCCTCCCTCCCTCCCCTCATCTCTTTCTCTCTCTAAACACGCACACACGGAATTGCAACACAGTTCCTCAGCTCCCTCTCTCTATTTTTTTTAACACCAATCTCTCTCTCTCTCTGTTTTCTCCAAAGCCCAAAATCCCAAACCTTCAAATTTACCAAAAGCAACCAAAGTTTCCCAAAACTTGACGTTTTTGCCCAGATGGGTTCTGCTCCTACTCCTGCTAGAACTGCTTCTACTTCTGCTATGTTATTGATAACTCTGCTAAACGTCGCTGTTTTCCGACCCACCACATCAGATCCGAGCGACGAGGCGTGCCTAACCCATCTGAGCGAATCCCTCCAAGACCCAACAAAATCCCTCCAGAATTGGACCAAATCCACCTTCGCCAACCCCTGCAGCGGCTTCACCTCCTACCTCCAGGGCGCCACCTGCAACAATGGCCGCATCTACAAGCTCTCTCTCACCAACCTCTCACTCCGCGGCTCCATCTCCCCCTTCCTCGCCAACTGCACCAACCTCCAGGCCCTCGACCTCTCCTCCAACTTCCTCGCCGGCCCCATCCCCTCCGACCTCCAGTACCTCGTCAACCTCGCCGTCCTCAACCTCTCCTCCAACCAATTATCCGGTCCGATTCCGCCGCAGCTCACATTGTGCGCCTACCTCAACGTCATCGACCTCCACGACAACTCCCTCACCGGCCCCATTCCCCAGCAATTGGGCCTTCTCGTCCGCCTCTCCGCCTTCGACGTCTCCAACAACAAGCTCGCGGGTCCGATTCCGGTCTCGCTGGGCAATCGGAGCGGGAACCTGCCGAGATTCAATGCGACATCGTTTGAGGGAAACAAGGAGCTTTATGGGTACCCTTTGCCGCCGCTGAAAAGCAAGGGGCTTTCGATTCTGGCGATCGTCGGCATCGGATTGGGAAGTGGGTTCGCGAGCTTGGTGCTTAGCTTTACCGGCGTCTGCATTTGGTTGAAAATTACAGAGCGGAAGATGGCGCTGGAAGAAGGGAAGATCAGCCACCTCATGCCTGATTACTGAGATGGGAGGAGGAAGAAAGAGAGGCTAATTTGGTAATTTTAATCATCCCCAATTGAAAAGCTTGAGCCAAAAATTTCAGGTATTTTTGGTTGTCTTTTACTGATGAGGGAATTTTTTGGTTTCTTTTTATTTTATTTTATATTTTTTGAGTTTTATTTGGTTTTTCTGAGTTTATTTTTACTTCTATTTTTTGTGCTTTCGATTCTCCATATAACTTCCTCACCAATCCAACTATGTACAAAAACCAAGTTCAAAACACAATGTTTTGGTCACAAAGTGCACTGTATGTAACTTTAGGTATATGGAAACATCACTGTAATGATATTTCAAACTAATTACGCATCGCAACACTGTCTTGAGCCGCTTCATGTAGTTTTAGTGTTTGGCTATTGTGAGCTGGTTGGAGACCAACAGAACCACATGGTCTGGTAATTGTCGACTTCTGAACCTCTCGAAGGCTTTAAATATAGTGATCATTTGCTCTCTCTCTCTCTCTCTGCCTTGCCCAACATTCTGCTCCTCTATCTCTATTTGGAGTTTGATATTAGTATATTACTGTACCAGTTTACAAAAGCATAAATATTTCGAAGTTTTTAATTAAATAAATAAAAAGCTGACTTATTGCACTGAATTTTAACAATAATTGACTGTGCCAATTGCCAAAGCTTCACATTACATTGATGATTACTGAAGGTTCTAAAAGACGTTGGGCGCTAGTCGGACGGCGGGTTGGGACCTAGCACCTAAACGGTTAGGCGGGCACCTAAGCGGATGAGGTAGATTTAACTAAATATATTATATTTCGTGTAAATAAATATCTGTTTATACTTAAAATATATATAATTTTATTATAAACTACAAAATAAAATGACATATATATTATGTAGTATTGGAACATAATGAAAACATGGGGAACAAACATATATGTGTGTTATTTTAATTATTCAACAAGTCTCTGACAATTTACTGAAAAAATTAAAATGCAAAATGAAAGTTATTTATTTTTTGTCTAAGTGAGATGCCCGCCTAGGTGGTCTAAGCGTCATTTCTTAATTTTCAAATGCCTAAGTATTAATTGGGATGATGGCCAACCGCTTAGACGGGGTAGCATGTTTGTATTATGTAGTAGGCTCCAACCTTATTTGCCCCACCCAAATAATTCGAGATTCCTTTTACTTTGTAAATTACAATTAGACATGTCAGTAAAATATGTTAAGAATGTGATTTGCTGACAAGGAGGAATTGTTGGTGTCAATTTTTTTGGTTTTTGTTTTTGTTTTTTGTGAGCGAGGGTCTCAGGCTCGTTGCTGGGACTTTTGTTAAACTATGTAATTAGAAATTTTAAGACAAAGGAGATGTAAAATTAAAGTATTTTCTAGTTCGTTTGTAATGCGTGTATTGGCGAATGCTGACATACATGAGTGGATGACTAATTGATCTTAGCAAAATCCGAGAACAAAAGCCATATTCCAACAATATGGGTAATGAAAAACATATAAAACTTGTTTAGTTAAATCCTCAACTCAACTAAACTGGACAAAGATCCTATGAAGAGACGCATGATGGAATTTTGTGACCAAAAGGGATCATGAAGGGGTATGTCAAATTCTTGAGCTTTCAAACGCTAGCCCCGCCAGACTTGTCTGTGTCTAATTAAAGATTAACTGATCTGATATGATCCGATCCAACGGCTGTGAAGATTCTAAATATTTTGTTATTCAACTTACACCGAAAGTAAAAGATGGTCAAATGAGGTTTCATTCCTCATTGAATGGGGTCCTCCTCCTAGAATGGCATGCATTACATCGTGATTGAGTGTGATTCTTTCAACTTGTGCATTTTCCATTTACTTTTTTCACTTGGGATTATGGTTTTGTCACTTAAACGGGATCTCAAATCATCTACCCTTTACCTTGCACTCCACTCCTAATTATGTTTCTATTTGGGCCTGAAATTCAGGAGGTCGGCCTAGAAGATGTGAGCTCAGAGATAAGGTTGTGGGTCTCGGCCCGGTGGTGATGCGTCTAGCCCAGGAAGTAAAGTACTCTGCCCAATGGTTAGACACTAGTAATTCGATCTAGTCCTAGGGAATTTGTTCTTTTTTTGACAAAGGATATTTTTTACACTAAGGGGAGGGGCGGGTTTAGCCTCATAATGAGCTAGCAATAATGTAGTTCAAATTTGCCTTTAGCGAAAATCAAACCTTAAGACCTCTCACACTTACAAGTGAAGAGGAATACCACTACACCGTAGTAGTAGTGAAATTAACAGAGCTAAAGAATATTTAGATGTTGATTCAGTTGAGTCTTGATTGAGTTAGGACTATTGATGAATTAGCACTAGCGCCGCCTAGACCCCACCTAGGTGCTAGGAACCGGCCACCGCCTCGATTAATGCCTAGGCGTTTGAAAATTAAGAAAGAGCGTCAAGACCTGCTAAGACGCCTGTCTAGCCCACCCAGACTTGCCTAGGCACCCGCCTAAGTTGTGACTCACTTAGACAGAAAATAAATAATTTTCATTTTGCAATTTGTTTTTTTCAAAAAATTGTAAGAGACTTGTTGAATACTTAAATGAGCACACATTATATGCGTGTTCCTCATGTTTTCATTATGTTCCAATACTTCATAATATATAAGTCACTTTATTTTGCAGTTCATGATGAAATTATATATATTTTAAGTATAAACAGACACTTATTTACACGAAATATAATAGATTTACTTAAATTCACCTAGTCCGCCTAGGCGCTAGGCCCCAGCCCGCCACCTGACTAATGCCTAGCGTATTTTAGAACCTTGAGAATTAGGTTGGGTTTTGATAAGATTCGAGTTATTCTAAGAATCAAAACATGTGGCTAATCACATAAGAAAATTAATTGTGTTTTCAATGAGAAAATTATGTAGTTTTATTGTTACAAAATTGCTGGTTTGTTGAAAATGGTAAGGACATTATGGTAGTGTTAATAAGATTTCAGTTAAAGAATATTAGTGGTAAGGGATCAGATCCAAATCTGCCTTTTTTTTATTTTTTTATTTTTTGCATCTTACAGTATGAATAATCATAATTGTCTATCTTGTAAAGTATGTTTTAAAGATTATTATTGTGAAAAAGCAACTAAATCGAAAACTAAAACAGACCAACCAAATGTTTTGAATAAAAACTTGATTGTTACATATTAATAAATGACCATTGGTCATTCACTTATCTTTTCAAGGCTTCTAATGGGGTACCTTGGTTTCTTTTGGTGGATTGAAAAATTATGACTTCATCAAATGAAATTTATTTATACACATATTTATCGAGAAGGAAATTAAACTGCAGATGTTTTAGCTTCATTTAGGGCCAATAATTATGCTTATCACGGTGGTCTCAAATCATCTACTCTTTCCTTTGCATTCCTCTTCTAGTTACGTTTCTATTTGGGCTTGAAATTCAGGAGTTGGGCCGAGAAGATGTGAGCTCAGAGACAAGGTTGTGGGTCTCAGCCGGATGGTGATTTGTCCAGCCAAGGAAGTAATTCGGCCTGGTCCTAGTGAAGTTAAGAGAGCTAAAGAATCAAATTTAGATACTGATTCGGTTCGAGTCTTGATTGAGTCAGGACTATTGAAGGACTAGGTTGGAATTTGATAAGATTTGAATTTTTAAAGATCAAGTCACTCAGTACTACGATCTGATGATATTCCTCTTAACTTAAAAAGAGAGGTTTAAAGTTCGAATCTCGTGGATAGTGAATTCGACACCAAATTAGGCTGTTCATTGCGTGGCTTAGCTGAATTCCCCCTTTCATAATGTAAAAATATCGATGTACTCCTAAAAAAAAAAATCAAAACATGTGGCTGGTCATATAAGGATTAAATTGAAGTATAAGGGGACTAGGTTCGTTGTTGTCAAATGTAAATAATCATATAATCATAGTCGTCACATTGAAAAACAAAAACTGTGGTGCATAATTTATTAAAATCAAACAGAATAAAGTATGGGTACAAATATTACTGATTCAAATTATGGGTAAGTCTCCCGTACGAAATTTCAACGAGAACAACTATCTACAACGTAAATAATTAACTGTGTTTTCAATGAGAATTTTAAGTCGTTTTACGGTTACAAAATTGCTGGTTTGTTTAAAAAGGTACGGACAATAATAGCAGTGTTAATATGCTAATGTATGTTTCAGTTAAAAAATATTAGTGGTAAGGGACCGTAACCAAAAACTTTTTTTTTTTTGACACTTTGGATGCGGTCCTTAACTACCAATGTTCTTTGACGGAAATCTGGTGGTTTTTAGTTTTTTATTGAAGTTTCGGGCATTAATGTAATAATGTATTTCTATATAGGTTATTATATTTTTAAATTAAAAATAAAATTTTTATTTATTTATATTAATGAGATTTTTAATAAAACCCATCATTTATGGGATTAAAAGTATTAAAGATGAATTCTACTCTCCAATATATTTTGTGTGTGTGTGTGTGTATACACACATGCATATGTTCATCAAAACCAACCAAAAAATTATTGTACCAAAGTATGAGTACATTTTTCAAAAGCACAAAAAAAAAAAAAAAAAAAAAAAAAGATATGAGGCTTAATAACATTATTAAATTTCTTTTATTAAACTTGACATGGATACATTCTCAAATCAACGAAATAGAATGTACCCATATAAGTTTGAAAAATGAATTAGAGAAAAATTGAATGAAATTTTATATAAAAAATGGGTACTTTTTAAATTAAAAAAGGGTACATTTTTAACAAATTGGTATATTTAAGAATGGATGCATATAAGATTAAAAAAATTGATTTTTTTTATAAAAATTTAATCGGTGTTGCAATCATATTTAGAATAGGAATGTGATTGTGTGAATCCTAGGGAATTTGGGAAAGTATTATATATATTCCTATTAGGATTAGATCATCTATTAAATGTTGTAATCCTAAAGGGAAATGTTTTACCCTTTCTACTACTATAAATAAAGACACAATGGGGTGAATCAAACACACCTCACAATTAAATCAATCTTTTTTCTCTCTCAATATTGCCAAACCCCTCTCTCTCTAAACCCTAGATCGTTCAATCAAATACGCCTACAATACGTTATCAGCACGCTCTTGCCAGAAGCTGAGGAATTGACGCATCGTAGGAGGAAGCTATCATCCACCACATTCAAAGGCTTATTCGTTTTCTGCTAATCAAGTACGCTTAAAATAAAGGAAGATATTTGAAATGTCCATGAAGCATGAAAACATTCCCCATGATGCATGAACCCTCCTATGTTTATATTTTCCTTCCGATATATATATATATATATATATTGTATATGTTCATATATTTGTTTCATGCATTGCACAATTAAATTGTTATGTGGAATTTGTGAGTCAAATTATATAAAATAAATTAGAAGCATAACTAAACCCTAAGTTTTTTTTTTTTTTTTTTTTTTTTTTTTTTTTTGAAAAAAAAGGGGAAATTGGACATTGGATGGCACCACCCATAACATCGGTAGCAGCCTCTGGGCTTTGCTGCACCTACTTGGATCCCCAGGCCTTCCGCCTGATTGATTAGAATAGGCCTGCAGCCTTAATTCTATCACTGAGGAGGCTCGTAGCATTTATGGATCCATACCAAACCCACAACAAGCCTTGCTTGATGGGTCCTTGTCCCGCATGCATCCAGGCCCACATACCCGCTCTCTCTGGTGCCAGTCCACTCGATTGGGCCTTGTTTCCTTGCGGCTTGCAGCACAGGAAGCCAGCCTATGCAGCTGGGCTCCTATTCGAACCCACATGCCAGCCCATGAGGCTGGGTTTTGTTCCCTCGTGCATCGCCCACAAGGCCAACACCTACTGGGCCTTGTCCCGTGCACCCCCCTTCAGCCTAAACTGAAACCCAATTGCGATTGGAGCTTCTCCCTCACCTATGTGGCCTACAACCCACCCCAAGGTCTTTTGGGCCTTGCCTTATACTTAAGGCACCCAAACCCGTGCCACTTAACCCACGGCACCAAGCCCAATATTATTTTGGGGCTATATTTTTGATCCAATAATATTATTTTAATATTATTTTGCTTCTACAATCGACTCGGTATGGCCCGATTTATTGAATTAATTAAAAGTGACCTGCAGTCCATTAATCTGATAATGAATCCAAAATTATTGACATGAAAATCACTTTTGGACATTAACGATTTAATACTTTATTTTTATACTTTGAACCGTCACATACTTTCGTAGTAACAAAGCTCTCACACTTAAGTTCCCGAAGAAACTCAAATCCACTATACTTAAATCAGCATATTGCATTCAGTGTTTCTTGCAGGAACCTCTCATTATGAACTAATTGTTCATAAAAACTAAATTGAACCTGTAGTTTCAAATTTAG